TTTTCTGCTGAGTAGTACTCCATTGTATAAATGTACTACATTTTCTCTATCCATTCTTCAATTGAGGGGCATCTAGGTTGCTTCCAGGTTCTGGATATTACAAACAATGCTGCTATGAACATGGTTGAACATATGTCCTTGTCATGTGAATGTACATTCTTTGGGTATATGCCCAAGAGAGGAGTTGCTGGATCTTGAGATAGACTGATTCCCATTTTTTTTGAGCAACCACCATACTGATTTCCAGAGTGGTCTTACAAGTTGGCACTCCCACCAGCAATGGAGGAGTGTTCCTTTTTCTCCACATCCTCTCCAGCATAGATTGTCATTGGTGCTTTTGATTTTAGCCATTCTGGCCAGTGTAAGATGGTATCTCAGAGTTGTTTTGAGTTGCATTTCTCTGATGGCCAAGGATTTTTGAGCACTTTCTTAAGTGTCTTTCAGCCATTTCAGATTCCTCTGTTGAGAATTCTCTATTTAATTCTGAACCCCACTTTTAATTGGATTGTTTGGTGTTTTGGTGGCTAGCTTCTTGAGTTGATTGTATATTTTGGAGATCAGCCCTCTGTCAGATGCAGGGTTGGTGAAGATCTTTTCCCATTCTGTGGGCTGTTGATTTGTCTTACTGACTGCGTCCTTTGCCTTACAGAAGCTTCGCAGTTTCAGGTTAGATCAGAATCTTAAAATATATTATTTTCTTTCTCTACCTAGCTTAAGTCAGTGTAACATACTTAATGTTCACCCACATACTAAACAGTATTAGTTGTTTTTGTATTTATTTTGTTGCCAAATGATATCCTGGTGATGAGAAAGCAATACCAAATATTCATTCACTACAAACACTGAGGTCCTTGGAATTTTCCTACATAAATAATGGTTCTCAGAAGATCCATTTACAGCCTTGCACATGCGTCTTTATTTTGTGAGAAGATATATATCGATGAGAGTGACCCTCTAAACTACATGGTGAGTCTGTGAAGGAACCGTTAGTAACAGGTTCTGTCTCCAGTACTGGTGTTCTCAAAATAAAAAATCAATTATCACCCTGTCAATTCTTCACACCCTATAAAACCGTGATATCATCATCATCATCATCATCATCATCATCATCATCATCATCATCATCACCTCGTCAACTTTTTCACACTATGGCATTTATATTTTGTGTGTTTACATATGGGGGAGTGTGGGCTTCATTTAACCAACAAAGCTCACAAAATATCAGTCCGATCCTTCCAACACTTTGGTCCTCAGAATAAAACTCAACTTGCCAAGCTCTGTGGTGAGTGTTTCTACACATTGAGGCATCTTGGTAGATTGCCTTTTCAAACTTACTTAACTGTGATGAACTTTATCAATACAGAGAAAAAGCAAATAACCATCTATGTGTGCACTATCAACTGAGAAGCATGAGTGTATTGTTCAAAGTATCTCACTTTTATCTTCATCTGTCTTTTAAATGGCATCAATGCACACTGAAACAGTGAGGCATAAACACATGGTTGGTCCTGGTGACTCCCTCCTAGGATTATATGACAAACTTGTGTGGTGTGGACCTGGGAAGACACCTTCTATGCAGCGTCTCACTCTGCCTATCCGGCTGTGCCTGGTGGCCTTGCCTTAGCCAGGCAGGGGTGTTCCTCTCTGGTTTCAGCAAGATGATGTAGCACTTTGGGATGAAGATGCCACCCAGAAGCCCAGCAGTGGAGGCCAGGATGGAGAAGATCTCCACAGCCACAGTGGACTTGCCTCGGGCACTGTGGTACAGGGGCAGGAAGGCTGTCCAGACACTGCAGAAGAGCAGCATGCTGAAGGTCAGGAACTTAGTCTCATTGAAGACATCTGGTAGACCCCTGGCCAGGAAAGCCACAGAGAAGGTGCCCCCTGCCAGGATCCCCAAGTAGCCCAGCACACAGAGGAAGATGGCTCCAGAACCCTCCTGGCACTGGATGACGATGTGCTGGGGCTCCGAGACCATATCCCTGTCTGGAAAAGGGGGAGAATTGGCCAACCAGACCCCACAAAGAACAAGCTGCATGAAGGAAGCAATGAGGACCACAGAGGTAGGAGCTCTGGGGCTCAGGCAAAGCCGGATCCTGCCCCCAGGTTGGGTGGCCCGGAAGGCCAGGACCACTGTGAGAGTCTTGGCCAGAACAGAGGAGATGGCCACCGTGAACACCACAGCAAAGGTGGTCTGACGGAGGAGGCATGTGGTCACACTGGGCCGGCCAAGGAACAGCAAGGCACACAGGGAACAGAGGGAAAGAGACATCAGGAGTAAGTAGCTGAGGGTTCTGTTGTTGGCCCTGACCACAGGGGTGTCTCTGTGCTTCACAAACACTCCCAGAACCAGGACAGCAAGACCAGACAGGAAGAGTGCCACCAAAGCCAGCATGAATCCCAGAGGTTCCTCAAAAGCCAGGAAGCTCTCTGTCCTGGGCAGGCAGTGGTCTCTGCTGTGGCTTGAGTACTGCTCCTTGGGGCACTGAAGACATCTCTTCATGTCTAAGGGAGACACACAGACACATTTCTGCAATAGTAGACCAACTACAGCAGCTCTGAAAGAAGGCATCCCAGGTACTAACTGCTCTTACAGCCTTTCTGACAGTTCATGGATTTATGAATTAAGTCTTGGTGACCAGGGCTGGAATGGGTGATCTTAGAAACACAACACAGGTACAAAGGAAAAACTGCACAGGCTACACTGTTTTATGTGAAGGTTTTTGTTTCTGTCTTCAAACAGGGTCTCATGCAACTGAGGCTGCATAAACCATGAATTCCTCATCCTCCTTCCACAAACTCTAAGTTCTGTGATTATAGCTCTGCACCAGGATACCTAAATACGTGTTTCTGCGAGTGCAGGGCTTTTCTGTATACACATGAAAGGGGACGCACATGCTCGTGGACACAAAGATTATCATATCATATTATTTCTCAATCTTTTCCCTGACCTTATTTCTCTAATAAGCTTGTTTGATGTTATGGTGTGTGTAACACCACGTGGATCCCCGTCGCTGAACTTGTGCTATCAGGGTTCTCGGTGACTGCTTTAACTCTTGGTCCCGTTCACCAGACTCCATAGCTTATTCTTTTGTAATTACTTACTTTATTTTGCTTGCTGAGTGGTTTTTTTTTTGGACATTTTTATGGAAATCCTGTGCAAGCCTGGTTCCTGTGATATCAGAAGATGTCCTCATTTCCCCTGTCACTATAGTTACCCTGGGATGGGAGCTACCATGCGCGTGTTTGTAACTGTTCAGCAACATATCCAGCCCCCTTTCACCTTACTTATTGAGACAGGATGTCTCATTGAAACTGGAGATCACTGAGTTGATTACACTAGCAGACCACAATCCCCACAGATCTTCCTGTCTCTGCCTCCTGAGTGCTGGGACTGAAGGAAAATGCCACTAGGCCCGGTCTCATTTGTGAGTTAGTAACAGTTCATTTCTTTCCAGTAGTATAAGACACTGGTCACATTAACAAAGATTTTAGAATGGCATGCCCCCTCAAAATACATGTGCTGAAGTCCTGTCCTAAGCACATTGAAATGGGATATATTTTCTCATGAGTAAACGTGAGATGATGTAACAACATCACCAGTGTAAACACCAATTCCAACAGGTGGCTACCCTAATTAAAAGAGGAAGTTGGAGCTGGGAGAACATGACTTTTATCTCAACACTTGAGGGGTAAATGCAGATACACTTCCATTAGTTTTGTGGCAGACCAGTCAACATCAAGAATTACAAGCCAGCCAAGGCTCTATGGTGAGACTATGATGAGAGCAGATCCATAGAACGTAAGGTTAAGATATCTTTATTCAGATAAACACCACCCAAATGCAAGCCAGAGCGTGCCAGGGACCGCAAGGCAGGCAGAACAGAGAGAAGGGGGCTCCCATGTTCCTTGAAGCCCCTTAGAAACCCATCACTTGACATCCTGACCTCACCTTGACCATGCCCTGACAGGCGTGGTCAGGCACACCTGTAGCCAGCCCTTAGGAGGCGTGGTTATGGTGTCTCCCTACATGAGACAGTGTCTCAAAACCAAACAACAAGCCCAAAAAAGATACAAGGTACACACACAAACAGAGACAGACACATGACAAGCAGAGAGCACACAGTGAGTGGACTGTGCCAGGGCAAGAGGGAGGACTCACACAAAACCAACCCAGACGATAACTATCCTTTTCATTTCCAGCTCTAGGAGTAGTAATGGATTAAGTTGTGTAACTCAAACAGCTGTGAATGTGGTGGAGTGTCACCATTCAACATCTTAGATGAACTCCAGAAATACATAGGAAGAAGATCTTCACAAAAGCACAAGCACCAAGAAATTCTCTTCATAGGAGGTTTTAAGTGCAAGTGAAATTCATCAGTGTCAGCAGCAGTCACGGATGTATTAAGGGACCACTAAAGCATATGGAAATAGCTTATGTCAGTTTCTTGACCAGGGGTCAAGGATTGCAGTGTTTGCCAGAGGAGAATTATTTATGCAGCACAGTTAGAGTTCATTCTTTTTCTGTGTCAATAAACCATCTACCAAAGAACAATTCTAAGACTAACATTCTGGGATGGTGCTCCACAGAAAAGCAAAGACTTGGCAGCATCAGTAGATGGGTGGGTGTGGCACTTTCACTGAGATTGATCCCAATAGGATCTCATACTTGAATGTTTAGTTCCTAGTTAGTGAATTACTGGGAATGGATTGGGAGGTGTAGCATTGTTGGATGAGGAGTGTCAATGGGGTTGGCCTTTGAAAGTTCAAACTCCCACACAGGCCCACGCTCCATCTCTCTACCTGCCTGCTGCCTCTGGATCAGAATGTAAAATCGCTGGAACTTCTGTAGTGTCATGCCTGATGACAGGCTTCCTGCCATATTGCTCAGGGACTCACCCTCTGGAACTATAAGGAAGGCCCAGGTACATGCTTTTCTGTCAGAAGCTGCCTTGGTCATGGTGTCTCTTCACAGCAGGAGAACAGTAACTCAGACAATGGACAAATACAGGATGCTCACAGTGTCTTGTTGACACCTCAGATCCAGATCCACATGCCCTTACCTTTTTGGCCTGCAAAGTGTCCCTCGGGGCAACGACTGCAGTCAAAACAGCACTGGGGGGCTCCCACCCTGGGCACTTGGCTGGATCCCGGAAGGCAGCTTTCACTGCAGACAGAGCTGGGCACCTAGTAACAGTGAGCATAAGGTCACTAGTGACTCTCCAGGGAGAGGTCTGCTTGACCCTGAGAACCAAACAGGAGTTTCCTGACAGTCCACTAGACGAGAGAGGCCTTACAGAAACCATGTCTATCCCAGCAGATGGCAGAAAGGAGAGGGACCTTTGAGTGTAATAGGAGGGAGGGAGGGAACTACATCTGGCTCTCTTGACAAAGGGATTTAGAAACATAGAACAACAGTTTGATGAGTTGTCTCTCCAGTCTCTCTGGGGCAGCGGCATCACCAATGGAAGGTATGGAGTCAGGAGAGAAGGCTCAGTTGTTCATAATCCCCGGCACTCATATAGCAGCTCACACTGTAACTCCTGTTCCAGGGGATCCAGTGCCCTCTGCTGGCCTGTACAGGCAGCAGGCATGCACATACTATAAAAGTATACACGCTGGGAAAATACCATGAATGCAAAATAAAACTTTAAAAAAGAACTGAAAGTATCCAAAGGTATTACAAAAGTCCACAGCCTGGACATAATTTTCTGACGCCTTTAGATTTCTGCTTCTCTGAAGCTTCCGACTGCCTGGTGGCTACATAATGGACTCATGTCTACTCAGAAGACATGGCTGTTGCTATTCCTTTTCTCAGTCTCTCTCCGTGAAGCTACTGAGGTTTTCATTTTGATTCTAATAATAAAGTAGCATCCAGATTCAGTAAGAGACAAATTGTATGTACTAACTCGCTTGACACAGACACCACACACACACAAAAAAAACCCCACAACTTTCACAGCATACTCAGTCCTCTCATTTACCTTGGACCTACCAAGGATGACTCAGTTTCTCTTAGCATAGCTCTAACTCCAGGCAAGGATGATGATATTGCTACAAGCTTAGAGGACTGTGGAATAGAATGTATTGGTTTGAATGTAGCTAGCCCCCATAAGCTCATAGAGAGTGGCACTATTAGGAGATGTGGCTTTGTTGGAGTAGGTGTGGCCTGGTTGGTGGAAGTGTGTCACTGTGGAAATGGGTTTGGGGGTCTCATATATGCTCAAGACACGCCCAGTGAGACAGTTGACTTCTTGTTACCTAGAGGTCAAGTTGTAGGAGTCTAAGCTCCTTCTCTAGCATGTATGCCACAATGTCCCACCAGGATGATAATGAACTAACTAAAAGTCTGAAAATGTAAGCCACCTAATGAACTGTTTTCCTTTATAAGAGTTGCCATGAGGGAAGGGCCTAGGCGTGGCCTGGGATGATGTGGTAGACTTTGGGGCGCCCCTTTTGAGGGCCTTACACTGCCTGGGGAGTGGAGGGGGGATGGACAGGGGCAGGTGGGATGCTGGGGGGAGGGGAGGGAGAGGGAGGAGGGATTGACATGTGAAGCAAGCTTGTTCCTAATTTGAACTAATAAAAGACTAAAATACAAAAAGAAAGAAGGGAATAAAATACAGAAAACAATGGAAACATGCCTTTAAAATTCTGAAAAGGAATTTTAATTAATTAATTTTAATTAATCAATTAATAAAGCTACACTCACTCAAAAAAAAAAGAAGAGTTGCCATGAAATTGAGAACATGGGAAGAGGGGGAGGGAGCTAGGAGCATGAGAAGGGAAGA